CCGCTTTGTGTAGATAGCAGGCTTCCACAGGCGGCGTTCAGATGTGTTTGGCGTTTCCACGTCGCTTTTGGTACGGGGAAAAAAAAAACAAAAATAAGATAAAGACGTTGCTTTGTGGATCAGGTGTAACCTCCTGTCAGGACTAGACGTTATGTTAACAGGAGCCTGAGGCCTGGAAGCTCCACAGAAAGACTTTATTTGATGCTTAAAAAGACTGGAAATGCTATTGGAAACTTAAGTTTGTAAAGATATGGGGGGATCTAAAGGGGTGGGGGACTCCGTGTTTCAGTGATCAAATGAGTGGTGTCACAAGTAGAGGTTGGAGGCAGCAAAATGTCTTCAGAGTAGAAATAACATTAGATTTGACAAACGTCTCTTTGTGAGATATTTTGTTGCTTCTCTTTCGAGATGTCTCGCTTCATCTGGCAGGAAGCTTAAAGCCAAGCGAGGTATCGGTTTCCTGTAAAACACCATTCAGCAGAGATAAAGTAACACAAAAAAAGAAAAGAAAAAAAAGGTGCAACGGGGCAAAGAACTTCCCATCAGAAACGTGAGCGAGTCCCTAACCTGTTCCACTGAACAAACTGGCTGCAAACAATCCCTTTGGAGGCGTCTGAGAGGGGGAGGGGAAGAAGCCAGTAATCCTCTCTGTAACACTCCTGTTCAAACACCGCCGCGCTCTTAACTTCCTCTTTGTTAAAAAACTCTAAAACATTCTGCTCCAGGAGCTCTCCGAGCACCCCGACGATTGTTTTAACCGGGCCGCCGTGGGGAAAAAGGCTCTTTTCAGGTGGCCCGAACCAGACAAAGCCTCCAGGAACGAGGGAGAAACCCCCCCCCAAAACTGTTTTACAACCGTAGCAAGTCGGTACAAAGTTTGAGCCGCCTCTTCCCTCGCTAGGAGAAAAATCCAGGTGGGGGAAGGGGGGGGGGGAGGGGGGGGGGGGGGGGGGGGGGGGGGGGCGTCTGCTCCTCCCCACTGTGTGGGTTTTGTTCTGCTAATCAGACCACATGCCTCAAGGATTCAGGAATCCGAGAGCTCTCAGCCAGCTCCTCTCATTCCACATACAGCCGCAGCAGCCTGTGACAAACTATTCAGTGTGTTGGAGGGGGGGGGGGGGGGGGGGAAAAAACCACCTCTCCTAATAAAAAACCCCCCCCCCCCCCCCCCCCCCCACCCCCGCCAGGCGCCCATGCGGGTGAAGGAGGGGGGGGGGGGGGGGGGGGGGGGGGGGGGGGGGGGTGTTAAAGACTCTATCCATTCATAACAATGTTCACCCCCCCTCCTCTCCTAATCTCAGGCAGGTCTTACCCACTCCCCTCCCCCCGGCCTTACCCCTCATATGCCCTCTCTTCCTTCTCACAGCAGCAGACTTTTTTTTTCTTTCTTCTTCTTCTTTTTCTTTATTTAAAATCAGTTTGCGCACCGAGTCTGAAAGGTCACCCACCCCCCCCCCCAACCGCAATTTAAAATTGTAAAAACAGAACTCAGTGCAATATTCATTGATGTTTCTTTTGTAATAACTCTGTGCAATAATATGTATATATATGCTCTTACCCTGTATATATCTAGCTCTTAGTTACAGAAAACATATTTATCAAGAAGGAATAAGGTCTTAGCTCTGTCACACTGGTAGCCAAGTCATCGACATTTCGTTGTCAAGATTCACCTTGTGTTTTTTGTACAATGACAATAAAGGAAGTCTAAGTCTCTAGGTCTAAGTCTAAGAACTGGGCCTACAACACGGTGAGCTAGCGCCGCGAAAGTTGTGGTGTTGGCCTTCCTCTTTCCTGGAGGGTTTTCTTATCCTCCGCAGGCTGGAGAGTCTCCTGGATTCTCCTGGAGTCTCCTGGAGTCTCCTGGAGTCTCCTGGACTCTCCCCTCCCCGGTTTTCCAGCTCCTCACGCGTTGGAAACTCGCGGGCTGACAATGGAAGACAGCTGCTCCTGCTGCATAAGTCTTTCAGGAGCTGAATTAGTCGTACGAGCCTGAGCTCCCCTCCCCCCCCCCATCGCACGGCCTCCCCCTCCCAGCCACAGATCCAGACACAGGACGACTCACCTCCTGGAAGGCTTAGCCGGGAAAGACGGGGCTGGGAAAGACAAAGCCTGACGAGCTCTTTGTCTGAGGGACCTGCTGTGGGGAGGTGGCCCGGAGCATCGCGATCGATTCTGGACGAAGACTTTGAGGTCGTGTTGTTGTCTAACACAACACTATCGCTCTGGTTTTTTTCTAAATCAGGAAATTGAAGCTTGTGATTGACCAAACCTCTGACGGATATACAGTGGGGGAAATAAGTATTTGACCCCTTGCTGATTTTGCAGGTTTGCCCACTTACAAAGAATGCAACGATCTATAACTTTAATCATATGTACATTCTAACAGTGAAAGACAGAATCCCAAAGAAAATTCCGGAAATTCACATCATATGAATTTATAAAAATTGATAACCACCTGATGAGGAAAATTAAGCATTCTTTGTAAGTGGGCAAACCTGCAAAATCAGCAAGGGGTCAAATACTTATTTCCCCCACTGTAATCAGAATGATCTTTTATTCTTCCGTGCCGATACAAAGCGGGGCGGGTTTGACATTCACATTTCCTTTGTGTTGACTTGAGGTTTAAATACATCTTTGGTAGCTTTGAGAAAGACAGTCAGACGTGACCTAAATTGTCGTCTGACGAAGCCTTCCCTGCTTAATTATTTTACGACTGGCTCCTAAAAGGGCGGAACACACAATGTGCTGATAGAGCGAAGCAGCAGGTGAGAGCTCGGCCTTGAAAAATATGACTAATAGAGGCTAGTCGCATGGTTAGGCGGCTGAACTCTGAAGCCTGAAGTCTCTGTGGTGCGTTTGAGGCTGAACCGGCTCGACCAGGAAGCTGGGTGAACTCTGAGTGAGGCTAAACGCTAAAAGCCCAGAAAATTAAAGAAAAAAAGTCCTGCAGCTCCTGTGTTGCCGCCCTGTCTGCAGGCTCTGTCTGCCCGGCCAATCTGAGGGCCGAACGAAAAGGATCAGGAGTTGGGACCATGTGGTGGCTAGGGATTCTTATCCAACTTTTTTCCCTTCTCATCCCATACCGATCCCGGCCTATCAGAGCATGTACTAAAGTTTAAAGTTATTTATCTACTTATTTAGTTATCAGACTCATGTTGAACAGGGATTTACTCTGATAACAACTTAATGGTTAGGACACAGACCTGTGGGTCATGAGATGCTAATGCTAACGCTAATGCTAATGTGGGATCAGAATTGTAAAGAAAAACTGGATCTGGGGTCTGGATCTGCATTTTCTCCTGCCGGCCGATACACAGTTTTTTTGCGAATATCGGCGGTCAATCCGATCCAGATATCGGATCGGGACGACCCTAGCTCAGATGGTTAAATAAAAAAGGCCCTGCAGCTCCTGCGTTAGCGCCCTGTCTGCAGGCTCTGTCTTTAATCTGTGGGCCGACTGAAAAGGATCAGGAGTTGGGACCGTTTGGTGGCCCGTTCCCAATGAGGAGAAATGTTGCTGTGAAAATCCACTTTAGAGGAAAGCGGACGGCTTTTGAATGAGGTTAAACAGCGAAAACATTTCCAGCTTTCAGACGCTAACATTTCAGTCAACCGTCTTTTAGCTAATGTGTACATCTGATAAGCCTCCGCCTTCCATTTTACGGCCGGTTTGGGGCTGAACGAGCCGTTTTCCAAAGGTTAGGCTCATTGAATTACAGGTTTTGGATGGAAAGCATTCACATGCAACAAAAGCCGCCTCTTCCCTTCCAAGCCCTTCATCATTGTTCCCCAATGATGTTACACAACCCCCCCCCCCCCCCCCCCCCCCCCCTGCAGTGTTTCTACAACCTGTTTTGATTTGCATTAGCTTGTCTGGGAGGGATGGGGCAGAGCGAGCCTTGAGGATGTGTGGTATGCGTGGCATGTGTCATAGCCTGCTGCCAAAAGGAGCGTTCCCAGGATACGGACGCTCGCATTTTATTAAAACAACCAATACGAGTTGGTAGTAGGATTCCAGAACGACACTACGCATTGTTTCTTTTCAATAATACGTAAAAGTAATATCATCATTATGACCTTAGAGCTATTCATGCGGCAGAGAAAGGCTGAGAGCAAATGTGGGAAATTGGAAAGTGAATGCTTCTCTGCATGTTTGGGTGAGAGGCTCCCCGAAGGTGAATGCCTTAAATAGGAAATGGCGCAGAAACCACAGCAGCTATGGAACAAAACTCAGTAGAAATCCATGCGAAATATATAGTTCTCTGGCCCTGAACCACCATCACATGATCAGCGTCAGAGTAAAACCATTTCTAATTAACAACTCCAAGTGGTTTGCCTCAAATACAACCATAGCTGTTCAATAAAGACAGATTTTTCTTTCTAATCTTATCGCATAGCCCTGCATTTTTCCAGTGAATTCCTTTTATATTCACCAAGGCTGTTGTCGAGCAACACAATCGAGGAGCATCGCAATGTCCCAGCCCAGAAGTCAAAGGTTTAAGTAGAGCTTGAGAGAATTAGTTAATAGGAACTAGCTTATGTGCAGGTCCTTGGTAGTGTTCAGACAGACACTGAAGGCACTTTTCCACCAACAGAACCAAACTGTGTTACCACGGCGCCGCGCAGGATTGATTAGGCTAATTAAATCAGCTGAAATGGAGGGCCTTTGATAGCATTAGGTCCAATCTGTTCGTGCTGACATTTATACAAATTGTGGATGCTTTTCTTAATCTGAAATGAGAGTTTTATGGCTCTGAACTCACTGTTTTGAATCCTAATTGGATCTATTGCTTACTTCCTGTTTAAGGTCGGTTGATGTCCAGTAGGGGGGAAATTGGGGGGGGGGACCTCTATGAAAACCTTAGTTACTTAGCAAAGTTCCCACGGCCAGAATGAAGCTGAAGTTGTTCTTTGTAAAAGGAAAAATAGCTGTCAGAGGTCCAGGTCATAGTGTATTTTTGTATGAACACCAGAACACAGAGGGCCGGTTTCCCTTTCTGTCAGAGGGAGGACGGCTCCGCGGTGAGGAGGGACCACTTCTCCACGAAACCGAGAACCTGACGGAAACAACAACAACTCGCTGCTCCTGAACCGGCGCTCTGACGCCGGCCGAGGAGTTTCAGAACGTACAAAAAGACGATTAACTCTGCTCTGATACTCACCAGACTACAGACGCCTCCAGCCCACTCCATGTTCAGTTGATGGACTAAAATCTGTAGATTTAATCTGACGATTTGCGTACTTGTTGACATGTTGTCTTTGTGTAAACACCATAAATATTGAAGTTGTTTCCATGACGCTTGGATGTTATTTAATTTTAATTTAATGGCATTTTAAATTATTGAGCAGTGTGGTCATAGCAGCTCTCTGACTGTGTCCCTAATGTCTGCAATGTGTATGAAATCCTCATCTCAACATTAAAGCTGTGGAGTTTATATAAACCCGGCCGGGCTCTTTTCTTAAATCAAAGGGTTCGACTTAAACTTGTTTTGATTTGAGGTTTAATTGGTCCGTTAATAGAGCATCTATGCCGATTCTTGAGCAGATTTGCTTTAGCAGAACACGGTCAGGTAGGCTGACGGCTTCCCTTTGAAGAGGGCTTGTTGTGCTTTGCACCCCTTCTTAAAATAAGTCACAGCCTCCCTTCTGTTCCAGAGCCTTTAAAATCCTGGCACCACTTAAAAGGAACGAGCTGTAACACAATAGCTGCAGTCAGGCCCAGTCAGGCAATGGGAACTCATGAGATCTCTCTCTGCTCCCTGAGCTGGACATCAGCAGCTATGCAGATCACCCCTCCCCCCCCTACTCCGATCCAATGTAATTTTCCGTGAGCGGCGCTCCATTTATCAAGGCCAGTGGCACATGGAGGAAGCCGACGAACGCCTCACTCCTTTAGATTTGTATAATGAGAGGTGGGAGGGTGAGGCGCACTCAGAGGTGGTTAGCACTTGTACGAGGGAAGTGGAGATGATTTATTCAGAGAGACGGAGAGCCAGAGGAGCTCTGAGCCGGGACCAGACCGTGTAGCCACGGCCATTACGCCGCCACCACGGATAACAGGATTGTTGGTGAAACACAGACTGATTAATGCTTAGATTACACAATTCTTGTAGCTTCGAATTAGCCCGCCATCTGTGATGAGGTTAAAACCATGTGTTCACCCCAATGGTTCAGGCTTTTACCTTTAGCTTTTGTAACTTACCCAAAATATTGGAAACGCCCATTTTGTAAACACACCAACTCAATATGAGCAAAATAGTAACAGTCAGAAGGTGGAAAATGGCGGAGGGTGACGGGTTTCCTCATTATTTCTAATTAATTTGACAGTCTCTGCAGGATGTAAAAGAAGTAAACATCGAGTCAACTGTGAACTTAACAAAACAAAGCAGTTTAAATAGCATTTAGTTTGAAATTAACTTAAAGTAGTTCACAGTTGAACAGTTTATATTCTGCATAATGCCAGTACCAAAAATATCATGTCACCCATTTTATATTTTTACGCAAAATAATCAGAAGGAAAGCAGCTAAATGATTCCTCTGAAAGGGAAATAATGTCTATTTAGCCAAATGATTAAAAGCCCCTGGTGATGGACTTCTGTGATCTTAACAGACGTAACTGGAGCTCCTCAAGCAGAGGTGACTCGTTCCTACATTTTGACCTTGAAAATAATTACTAAAGCTAAAGGGTTAGTTTAAACAAGGCCGCCATCGCTCTTAAATAGACAGAAGAAGAAAAAAGCCAGTGGCCTGCCAGCGTTAACTGTGAACATCAGATTTCCCTTTCAAACAGCAAAACAAATCATCTTTAAACAAAGACTGAAATACCAAACTTCCAGGCATGGGAAAAAAGCGAAAGGTTTTTCTTTTATGTGGCATTTCTACACTATGTTGGTCACTACCAAATATTTGAGCATCACAAATCAAAAGCTTAAGAAAAAGGCTTTGTTCGGCTGATTAGCTAATGATTTATCCTCTTTAAACGGGTAGCAAATTTTCTACATTTTCGAGTCTTGCGATAGTTTAAAAAAGGAGCGGCTCTGATCATTATAATAAGCGGTTCATCATCACCGTGGACAACACCAGACAAATCAATCCTCCGTATTGTATTTCAGCCATTTTCCTTTGAGCACACGTTCATGCCGCCACGTTTAGAGACATCTCAACAAAACGACGCGCAAACGCCGAGAGCACTTGGGTTTCTGAGAATCTAACTAGGGAATTTTCAGCTCAAATTCTGCGTAATTTAACCGTAATGAAGCTGCGTTTCAAAGGCAAGCTGTTAAAAAGCAACTGTGACCTCTCTTTCTCTCTCTCTCTCTCCTGTTCGCTCGTGTACTCCTCACCATAAAAGCCTCTTCATTTTAAATTCATTTTTGGATACAAAGACTTTCCTGAAATGCCTTTCATAGCAGGCGGCCCGAGGAGGCTCTGAACGGCCCGCGTTCGGGACCGAGTACGGTGGATTTAAGGGGAATCTAACAGGCTTCCTCTCAGCCCATCCCCCCACGCCACTTTCAGAGCAGCAGGAAAAACGGCGAAGGCGTGCTGTGCACCAGCTCCCTCCCCCACACGCCGCTCCACCAGGCATCGCCGGGGCTTGTGGGATTAAGAATGGAACACGATGACAGACAAAAACAGTCCTCAGCACCTCCCCGCTCTGCTGTCTTTTATACCGCAGGAGCATGAAAAGGCTGCTATGAGGCACACAATAGGCACAGTGATAGATAAACCCAGTGAACAAGATAAGTGCGGGTGAATGGCTACACAGATCTTTATATTATTCCTGTCTGACAACGTCAGTGTTGAAATCGCTTATGTGAAAAAAAATATATGTGGAACACAATACGACGTTTGCCTCGTTTCCCTGGCTTTTAAAGCCTGATCCAAGAAAAATAGGAAGGATTGGATTTTTTTTAGTGTGAAGTCTTTCTTTGGCCCCTCAACAACATATGAAGAAAAAAAAACAGAAATTATTAGCGTGCAATAAGTCCAAAATATATTTTGGTGTAGTCTTCTACTGGCTGTTATCAGGTATATCTGAATGTGTACAACAGGGGTTTGAGCAAAGCTTTTACCACTGAATGATGCAAAAAGTCTCAGATCCAAAAGACTTCAGAAACCGTAAGAATCAGATATGATACATTTGGCATTACAGGGTTAATGCTCGGCACCGTACACAATTTATCTGATATTAAATGCTGTTATCGATGGTTAACTGGCCAATTTAAAGCAGAAACGTCCTTAAATGACGATCAAAGCCTTTGTTCTAAACATAGAAAAAGGAACATTTATAACCCAAAGGTGATCCTTTGTCCGTCCTTTCAAAATTAATAAAGTCTCTGCTGTCAAAAGGAGAAAAGCACAGCTCTGTGTGGGCCATTTCCTGTAGCTGGTCTCAGCATCATCCTCGTCAAGGGTGCCCTTATTCATTGTATGGTAATAAAAGAGGAAACAGCAGTGGGTCTTTTTTTATGCATCACATGTCAGATTGCTTTAGGGGGTGCAGTGCATCTCTGGGCCTGCAGTGGGCTGCAGCCTGTCACAAGCACAATGTCAGAGGCCTGAAGCATTAGGTCAGATTGTATTAGATTAAAATCGATGAAAGCCAGCTCTGTTTCAAAGACACGTGCCAAAGACTTCTGAAAAAGACTGCAGTAACCGAGGAGAGCACTCTGATCAAACCCCGTTTCAGCACATGGATCGGAGGCATAATTAGTCAGGAATAAGGTTTAACACAGGGGTGCTCACACTTTTTCAGCATGGGAGCTACTTTTGAAATGACCAAGTCAAAATGATCCACCCATCATATTCATTGAGAAAAATATTGAGGATTCTTACAACTTATGTTGATGTATAACCACATATGTTGCACAACACAACATAATTATGTATATTTTTTGCCATTACCCGAGGTAATTCTGATGACTTTCACTGAATTGAACTTGGTCCAGCTCCCCCACTCATTTTCATAACCTATCTTACGTTTAAGAGGAAAAAAACTAGGGAAAAATCAGGATGTAACTAACGACTAGCTTGTTAGCCTTGGGGCGTTGTTTGGGCACGCAGAGTGACCTAATTGTACGGAAAAAAATCAGATCTGACTGTCATCTGACTGGTTGTCCTGTGTATCAATCAAGTGACGGGAATGGCTGATAGGCTGACGTCTAGTTTTTATTCAAAACAACTCAACTTTATTTGTATAGCGTCAGTTCATGGCAATGTCACCTCACCTTGTCAAGCCATCTACCGATAGTACCTTGGAGATCAATTGAGCACCCCTGGTAACACTAATGAGAATCTTATCAAAACAAATTTGAATTGTTCTTTTTGGTATAACTTCCAATACGTTTAAAAAAAGGCTAATCAAACGGATATTTTGGCTCGTTCCGAGCTGAAATGAATTGGTGGGAGGGGGGTAGACGAGTGAAAGTGGGAACGTACCTTCTCATTCTTCACCTTCTTTAGCGTCTTGCATTCGCTGTTCCCGTTTTCCACCTCCTCCGGTTCAGCTTTTGTGGTCAACGCCGGTACTATCCCAACAGATTCAAGTGCAATATTCCCCATCGGATTGGCGTCCGCCAAGTCTGTCGGCTGCGGGCTCTCGAAGGACGCGCTGCGGTTATTCCCCAAAGCGGCCTGGGCCTGAGACACGTCCTTCTCCGTGACGCCGATCGCCACCACCGGGGCGCCATCCGCTTTGTCTTTCTTATTTTTCCCGCTCGCCCCTTCCTTCTCCTTCTTCCCGCCCAGGACCCCCCTGGAGGCCTTGCCCCCCTTCTCCAGGTTCTTCCCGGAGGCGGAGTTGTTGCTAGCGGCAACCGCGCTGGCGGCGGCGGCGGCGCCCGCCGGCTCCCCCTGAGTCCGTCCCGGGGTTTCCTTTTTCCCCGCGTCGCTGGCCGAAGCCTTGCCGCCATTGTCTTTAGAGTTCTTGCTGCGCTTGTATTTGGATTTGCTCTCCTTGCCCTGGGAGCCGGAGACCGGACTCACGAACCGAATGTTGTCGGGCAGCGTCGCCACGGCGCTGGGCGGCGCCGCCATGCCCTCCTTGGTGCCAGACATCTCGAGTTTGTCCTTTTCTAAGTCAGCGTCTAGGTCGATGATCAGATTTCCAACGCCGATATCCCACTCATCCCCGCTGTCGTAAGTGTCCACCGCATTCGAGTCCACACCTTTCCCGCCTGCAGTGCCACCACTTAGGGACATTTTAGTGCCAACGGCCCAGGATTGCCTCAGTGAGGTCCGACACCCTCTCAGACGGTTGGGACTCAGGGACAAGGGTCAGAGAATCTTCACGGCCTACTCGTTCCTGTCCCATTTAACCACATTTTGCCCTGGGAAGAAAGGAGAGAAGAGACAAGTTAATTGATCTGACATCTCACAGAACACAGGATTTCATTGTGGCCATACAAAAAAAACAAGAAACAAAAAGATAGTTTGACCATAAACCAGTAAATGTCCCCGATGATCACAGTGCAAAAAGACATGTTAATTAATCTGACATCTCACAGAACACAGGATTTCTTTGCACTTTACATGTCTGAATGGTATTGCAAAGGTACTGTAGGTGTAATGTGTGTGTACTGTCTTTGTCTAACTGTCTATGTCCACACCTAAAGTCTATGTCTGCATGAGAAAACAAGAAACGCAATTTCAATACTTTGTACGACCAGCATATGTAAAGAAATTGACAATAAACCCACTTGACTTGACAAAAAACAAAAAAACAAGAAAAACAAATAGATAGTTTGACCAAAAGCCAGTGATTCTCCCCCGATGATCACTGAGCAAAACACTATGAAAATACCCACTGGTGTGACAGCAGAGCTCCGAAAGCCCTCTCTCTTCATAATCACTTCCCACAGTTGTCATGGCAACCGTGGGAAATGTAGCCTAAATCCTCCTTTGACAGCGAAGGTGGCCCCACTGTTCTGAATGACTGGCTCTCTTTTCACAAGGCGGAGCTGATAGTGTCAGTGCTGATAAATAAAAGGAGAGAAACCGGCCTCACAAACCCCCGCGTGCTTTACGGAGCCCTGGCTTTTCAACTCCGGGGCACAAAGGTAATCTCGCATTAACAGGGGGGACTTTAAGCACCGGCCGGTGGGCGGAGGAGAGAGCCACGCCGGAATATCTGCTTACACAACGTCGTTCTGCGAACCAACGTTAAATGTTTGCATGCTGAAAGCCGTTTCGTTTCAATTCGGAGTTCAGCAAGGGTAGGGAAAAAAGAGATTATCTTCTTAATCCCGGTCTTCAAAACTGGTATATCAGCAAGGGTTTAGAGGACCGAAGAGCCTTTTGGTTTGACTTAAATGTGTGTGAATCTTTTTGTCTAAAACCTCTGGTGAATGCTTGAATTAAAACAGAGCTAAACATGACTATCAGACCATGTGTTGAAGGGCTCTTTAAAGACCTGTAATGGATGTTTTCCTGTTCGCCTCTTATGACAGAAACGATCACGGGGAGTGTTTTACTGGGAAACAAACCAAGTTCTCAGAGTGAATTACGCCTGCTTTTCAGATATAGTGTGCAGCTGCAGGATTACCGTCGGCGCTCTTCAACCTCAATTTGTCAACAACCAGCTTCTAGGAGCTTTTTGAACATCGTACATTAAAAGACAGTCAAACCAACATCCCAAACACATCTAACACCATCAGGGCGCCAGTGGGGGTAGAACTGAAACAGCACCAGGGAGGGTTTCAAAAAGATGCAAGTTTTTAGTCATCAATTAACACGTTTGATCCCCAAAAATAAAAAAAAAGAAACAAAAGTACATATCGCTACAGACTGCAGGAAGCCAAGGATGGATATCCAACTCCGCCCACATCCAAGTCAGCCATTTTGATTAGGTCACCAATAGGAAGATCCCGGGCAAGAAAATCCTAATAGCTTCATGGCAATATAGACATTAATTTAAAAATAGTGAAATTAATCTTGCAAACACTGAATTAAACTCTATACATAATATTATGTTAAAATAGTGTATGTTAAATAGGTTTGTACAATAAGTCCCAACAAGTTTGACCAAAAAAATATTTTTTTCTCACTATTATGAAGGGTGGAGGGTTAGAGTTAGGGTTAGGGTCAGAGTTTATCTTCCATTTTCATATAGACAGTAAAGTTTCGTTTCCACCTCAGAAAGCTGCCGGTCACATGACCTAATCAAAATGTCCGACTTGGACGTGGGCGGAGTTGGATATCCAGCCGAGGCTACTACAGGCTGCTCCAGAAACCGTTCGAACTGAAGCGGCTGTAAAAAAAATACGACAGGCTGAAGCCAATAAGTGCTAATTTTCCTAAAGTGTTCCAGGCCCCAGAGACCTCCCAACATGGAGGGAAACAAAGACCCGGGTGAGCTGAACCATTACATCAGCGAGCACAAAAGACTTTACAGTTTTGGTCTGGGCAGCTACAGAGCGGCACAATTTGAAAGTGGTTTTTGTTGTGCCACAGTCACTGTGGAAGCCTTTGAAGGAGCTTTGAAAAATTATAAATGTCAATTTCCATCTGACAGTAATCAGAACGCTGAGCTGGAACAGACGAGTTTTTAGATGGATTTTCTCCTCACGGCAGAGTAAAAAAATTGTAGTTAATTTCACTTTCACGCGATGCCTCCTATTAAGATTCCAAACGTTCGACAAAGTGTTGTCACTTGACAAATTTTTTGTAACCACTGAGTAAGTCTACCACTTAAAATTCTCAGCATTTCAAAGGAATCAAAGACGGAAAAAAAACAAACTACAAAATGATTACCATGTAGGCTCCAGAAACATTTTTGTTAGAGACCTGGCAGCACCTGTTTAGCAGGACTGAAACATTCATCATCTGTTACTTTCTCCAGGCCAGAAAATGCTTCAACAATCCTTACACCCTCACTTTTTTACCACTACCACTTCAAATTCCAAGCATTTCAAAGGAATCAAAGAAGGAAAAAATAACTACAAAATGATTACCATCTAGGCTACAGAAATATTTTTGTTTCTGGAGCCTGTTTTGAAATATTTAACATCTGCTACTTTCTCCAGCCCTGAAAATGCTTCAGATTTCTATCATAAAAACACCCTAAATGTAAAAAATCCTTACACACTCACTTTTTCTCCAACCAATTTCTAATGTTCCTCAAATTACCAAGATAACCTCCATTAAGAATAACCTGGGTGATGCCTTTTTTTCTCCGTGCTGTTGGTGGAACAAATCGGTCCACTGCCAGCAGGAAATAGCAAAGGAACAGGATTCTTTTCTCCTTGTAAAAATAAAAAAATGCAACCGCATAATGACATTTATGCAGGAGGCGTTTACGCCAGCGCCCATCAAACGGGAGAGTCGCTCTTTAATCCGCCACTTTTAAAAAAAAAATTTAAATTTATTTTATTTTCACAACAAAAATAGTATTATTTCACTAAAGAAAAGAAATGTGATGGACAACTGCCGAAAAACCCTCAAGGGGCTTAATGAGTGGCAGTCTCCATAAAAACAAATATATTTCACAATTTCAAACATCTCTTTGATATTGTGTAAAAAACAAAAAAACATTTCTTTGTATAAAACAATTTAAAATATAATTTAGACCACAAATCCATATGGAAAATTCAGACAACCTAGTAGCAGCCATTTTACTCTCCGTTTAAATTGTTCTTTAGAAAGATCTTTTTGATCCTCTGTATAAAACACTAAACTGTGTTCGAGTTGTTTGAGAGTAATGAGGCCTGATAAGACACTACTACTACGAGTTGGATCCTGGTGAAATCCATTAACTACTGTTATTATTATTCACTTCTCAGCTTTCATTAGGCCGGCGCTGCAGCTGGATCCCAGATTGTTCTCCGTTTCCCATCAGCCCCGGCGGCGACAGAGGTAAATCTGTTGAACAACCACTTGATCAGTGAGCCTCCTCGCTCCTCACAGATGGCCCCCCTGAAAGCAACAACAGTGGGCGACAGGTTCTGGAGGGCGGGGAGCCGCAGCTGTCCCTGTGCGACTGGGTAAACAGTTGTGAGGCTAATTTGTCCAACACCTCCACAAAGGAGAGGCTGTAACTCTACCGGCGGGTGACCCTTAACTGGAAATGCAGAGCAAGCCTCTTTGGAGGCTTTTTTTAAACCTTTTTACCTCTTTATTTTACATTAAAGTTACATATACAGTGGGGGAAATAAGTATTTGACCCCTTGCTGATTTTGCAGGTTTGCTCACTTACAAAGAATGCTTGTTTTTCCTCATCGGATGGTTATCAATTTTTATAAATTCATATGATGTGATTTTCTGGAATTTTCTTTGGGATTCTGTCTTTCACTGTTAGAATGTACATATGATTAAAGTTATAGATCGTTGTGTTCTTTGTAAGTGGGCAAACCGGCAAAATCAGCAAGGGGTCAAATACTTATTTCCCCCACTGTATGTATATAAATCATGTTAGCTTTTTATGTTTATTTTTACCTGTACAGCACTTTGACAACTTCGGTTATTTTAAATGTGCTCTATAAATAAAATTTGACTCGACTTGGAGCAAACGTCCCGGCGAGCGCCCCATCAAGCGAAAGGCATGCAGCTCCCAGAGTGCCTGTCCTTTTTTTTTTTTTACAGATCGAGTTTCACTCTGCTATCTATCAGAGGCCGTGTAGGGGTGACACGGCAGAGTGAAGAACAGGGGATGGCCATTTGTGGTCAATTTGGTACGAAACGACTAAATCAGACGTAGCTAGGTGCAGTTTTCTGCATGTGGCTGCTAAGAGCACCATCTGTGCTTAAAACTGAAATTAGAGCATGACGTGCGACCATAAAAAGGGATCCAAGAAAGCCTTTTCAGGGACAAACCACAAGAGGCCTTTTTATTCCAAGTTAGCTTGTTGTTTTAATAAGGCCGAGAACGTCAGACATAAAGTGACACTCACTGTTAATTGACCGCACTTTAAAGGGCTGAAATGCAAGTCATTTCCCCCCGAAAACACCATGAAATCCACCAAATATACACTAAATGTTCCCCCTCGCAGCACAAATAACAGGTTGGGAGGGATAACATATGGTTCAAATCACAGCGCCGAGCAGATAATTATTGTTTAACTCGCTCAGATAGAAAAATAACTCCTCGGCTCGGGCATAAATGAGATATGCCCTCAAATTAGGCGCGTGTTGACATGAAAATCTAAAAGCATGATCAACTTTGTCCATGAAGCTTACAGTCTGCTACAATTATAATAAATACTTAA